TAAAATAACTCAGTATCATGGATTATTTGCATTACGTTTCTGATAGATGTATTTTACAATGCAGATCACACTGAATCGACGATTGATCAATGCAATTCGCATTTAAAACAACCGCTTCAGAAAAGTAATAAACGCGGAAGAATAAAAAATGATAAACACATGTGTAGTACGAACATAATATATTTGTCGTAATAAGTTATAACTTGTTTTCTTATTCGTCGGTAACATCACTTTTGGACTCGTACAAAACGCGCGTTCGCAGATTACATTTAAGAATAAGGTACAATGTAAAATTTGTGTATCCGGATTTATTGCTACGTTCGCTGTATGTTTTTTGTTCTGTGAATGTCGAGGCAATTGCTTTCAGGTCTTGTTAACAAAGAAAAAGATGAGTGAATACAAAAGACCTAAAACTAGCAATGCACGAATGATAAAATATATTCGTAGCACACAGCACTCATATATATCTTCTCTCAAAACGTCAACCATACGTAATTATCAAAAACACAGTAGAGAATTCATTATACCAAGATTTAGATTTTTTACGTTTTTTACGTTCCTCTTTGCCATTTTCTATAACAAAAAGAGAATTATATATCGACCTATCGGGAGACGGTATTTTCACTAAGAAGGAAAGAAAAAGATTACTCACTTTCTTCGTTTACTTCATCAACGATAGTATTTTTTCCAAATTCGCCATAGCCAAAGCAACCTGCTAAGGGTACCTTGGGGAATAATCTTTTGAATATCGTTGATTCCACATTAGGTTCATTGTACATTGTAGTTCCGCGAGCTTTGCACGCAAACATAAATCCTATGGAATGTTTCTTTAACTTCACTTTATCCCTAAATAACTTTAATTTTGCTTCAACCTGCTCCTTTGTGTTGCATTTCATGTCTAAAATCGTGGACCACGTCTGTATAGGACCAGTAATCAGGACAGCAACACAATATGCATCTATTTTATGCAACAATTTCTTTTTCGTTTTACATATATGTCGAATGTAAATATCTTGCACCACACCACCCCATACAGAAACAATTTTATCTTCTTTCCTGGACATATGTGAAGAAAAATAAACATGTATTATCAAATATTAGCAATTATTGTACAACGGTTGGACATACTTGATTACTGAACAGTAAATTTGAATATGTATTATTGCTTGGATTAAATATAAATTTTACCTTTTTTGCACGGCTGAGGCCCAATGTTTTGCTATTTTGTGACCATTGTAATTACAGAATAACATAAAACATGTAGATGTCTCGTGATTTGAAATAGATGTTTCATGTTCATCAATTGTACTTATTATCTCTTGATATAAATTAGCTTTTTTTTGTATACCACAACTCCCCACTTCAAACGATTTTATTCTCACGTTCGGGATTTGTGGTAAAAATGCACACACCATACTTGGAAATAGATTCATACGCTCCATTTCGTCATTATCCATAATAATACCTTCACTATATAACATTATAACCTCGCAATGATCAGGTAGCCAATCCTCTCTATAAAAAACTTAAAAAGAAATAAAAAAGATTGATTTCAACGATTCCATATTATTCTGACTTAAATGGGAATATAAATAAAAGAATTAGTATCAAAATAGTATTAATACATTCATATTTATTTTATACTTTTGTACATTACCTACTTTTTTACGTCAATAAATTAATTTACTTTTATAAAACTCCAAAATTTGTATCTGTACTTACTAAAGAAAATACAGTAAAAAAAATAAAATATATACCTCCTGTATCACGTGACGCTTCATCAGGAATAAAAAAGAATCCTGTCGATGGTTTAATTCTTATATTATAAAGTCTATTAAAATAACTGTGCAGTGTGTTGTCATACTGTATGAAACAACAAGGACCTCTTGTACATTTCTCATTATTTGCAGCTTCTGACCAGGATCTGAAAAGAATAATCGATCCTCAAATTTATGCTTCGTTCAGCTTACAATGTCATGTACTTTTCGTAATACAGCAGATGGAATGATGTTAAATGTTACCATTAATAGTTCTATTATTAAACTTTTAAAGACAACAACATAAAACGCCACAAAGAGATCATTTGTAAGTCAAATCTTGTTCATGTCCATTCACATACACATGATATAGAAACGATACTATTCTGCTCGTATTAAATAAATGTTTAAGATTAAATCGAGCGCGGATCATTAATATTAGGCACGTTGTACCTGCAAACCATCGCGGCACTTCCTAAGTCCTTGGCCTTTAAATATTGAAAGATAATTCTCAGAATGTCGTAGGTTAGATAGATATTCGAATCCAATGTATTTCTATCATAGCTTTGTGTTGCGCCATCGTCTTTGGACACACCAGGTTTTTCCTTCCGAGTTTTCTTTCGCGCCGTGCCTTCCATCGCTTCTTTACAATCGGTGAACCTCTACTTGTAAAATATCACAGTACGTATCATAACCATAACACGATACATCACCGAACTTCTTCTTCTTCTTCTTTAATTTCGTTGGCTCCTGCCTCTAACCGAGGACAATACGGCCAGCTTTGTCCACAGAGTGTATAGCTGACACAGATGAGTGCTACTGGTCAGCAGATTCGCTTAGGTATAAATATGCTAGTGATATTAACTTGGGTACGAGGACTAAGTTGTCAGTCTTGGTTAGGAGGGCTGATGTACGCTGAGAAGGGAGAGAAAGAGAATATGGAGGGGAACAGAGGCCATTCGTGCTCACGGGAGAGGCGCGCATTTACAAATTGATGTTGGCTGCTTTGCAGAAGGACATGATTAAGCGGCTAATTTTATTGGTAGGTTTTTTCAGGATAGGAAATATGTCAGTGCAGGAAGAGTCCTTGAGTGATGTTACTGCGAGCCGGAGGCTCGAAGCCCAGTTAAATGTTAGAGGGCAGTGAAAAATTAGATGATTAATATCTTGAATTGGCTCGCCGCAAGCGCATGAGCCGTCGTCAATAATGTTCTTTCTATATAAACTGTAATTGAGGTTGTAGTGGTTCGCTCTCAGTCTGGAGATCGTGACTATAGCATTTCGTTTCAGTCCTAATTTATAATACCAGGGCTTAGGGGAGTTGACATAGATGTTTTGAAAAAAATGATTTCCCTTGTATTTGGCTCTACTAAATAGATAATTATGGAATTCCGTAGCTAGCTTTTCTCTTTGTTCTATAAAAAGATCGGAATGTGGGAGTTTAAATGCTGGAGGTTCTATACCTAACCTGATAGCCTTTCTGGCGAATTCGTCCGCAATCTCATTTCCCGTGATACCTTTATGAGAGGGAATCCACACTAGCTGAATGTTTTTCCCACGCTCTTGTGCGTAGATAATTTTGGATTTAATTAGAGGGATTAAATAATTTGAGCGACACGTGACAGGATTTGTAAGCGCCTCCAAAACGCTTTTTGAATCTGAGACAATGGTGAATTTGGAAGCATCTAAGTCTAAAGTGAGTAGAACGGCATTGTATATGGCCCAAGCTTCAGCTGTGAAGATTGAAGCTCGAGCTGGGAGTTTAAACATCAGGCTGCGTTGTAGTTGTGGCGAAAAGCACGCGGCTCCCACCCAATTTGCCGAATCCATCTTGGAACCGTCCGTATAGAATACAATGGAGTCTCGTATAATGGGATCAAACGCTTGAAGGAATAGGTTTTGAACGGTGTATTTGGGGAGTTGATCAATAAGGTCCATAAAATCTTGTTCCGGACGATAAAGTATGGGAGTAAAGAGAATAGTTTGATAAGAATGCTGGAAAGGAGGGGGGGCTACTGCAGTGTGTAGCGAAGGTCGGAGGGATTTAAGTTGAAGAAATAAGTCGAAGAGGGGAAATTTTTCTCGACAATATGTCATGCCCGCAGGATATTCTCGGGATGTAAGCGCTAGTCGAAACATGGATTCCAAAACCTGATGATCAGTAATAGACATAATTTTGATTAGGTATTTTGCCGCCAGGAATTTGAGACGAAGTTTAAGTGGCGGCTCCTTAGCTTCTGCGAACATGGTATTGATGGGGGTTGAAATTCGATAGCCCAAGCAGGCTCTAATGGCTTTGTTCTGAATTATTTCGAGGCGGTGAAATTTAGGACTTGATTTAAGCGAAAAAATGTGAGAGGCATACTCGATATAACCTCGCAAGACTGCGCGATAAATATTGAGGAGTAGCTGAGGATGAGATCCCCACCAAACCCCTCGAAGAGCGGAGATGACGTCAGCCACCTTTCTGGCTTTATTGATTACAGACTCCATGTGTATATCGCCAGTAAGTTTGGGATCTAGGATAACCCCTAAGAAGCGAACAGAATCAGTGGGGGTAATTATGTTAGATCCAATCTGAATACATCACCGAACGAAAGTGGCGAAAGTGCAACGCCAAAGCGGCCAACGCACATTGGGCGCGTTCAGCAGAACAAACCGCTCAGTAGCAATCGAACGTGATTGGCTCTTACTTTTAGAACCAACCAATCAACGCAGATTGTTGATAAGACGAGACTCAACAGTTGTGTCTGCTGAACGCGCCCATTTGTAAACACCAAAGTCGGTAAATGACGCGTCTACCGACGCGTCATTTACCGACCTTGGTAAACACAGCGCATGACCCCGATTCTCTAACGAGAAACGTATGCGCAAACTCTGCTCTAACAGAAAGGCTGCAACGTGATTGGCTATCACAAAGTTTTTAGCCAATAAGCTTGCAGTTTTTCTGTTAGAGCAGAGTTTACGTATACGTTTGTCGATACAGAATCGGCTGATTCGTAAATATGTGTGTGTGTGTGTGTGTCCCAGTGAACACAATGCAACATGTAACGACAGGTTAGTTGTAATTTCCTACTCAACAATATAAATGCAATGTAACACGTGTGTTATATTGCATTTATATTGTTGAGTAGGAAATTACAACTAACCTGTACGTTACATGTTGCATTGTGTTCACTGGGGTGTGTGTGTGTGTGTGTGTGTGTGTGTGTGTGTATCTGTAATCTGTATTTTGTATATAATTGACCGATTGTAGTTCTACTCCTTCTCTTTAATATTTCTTCAGATAGCTCATGCTTTATATTTAAATACTCGATTAACCAACAATTATTGTGACTGTTTATGATTATTGAAAAAAATCGAGACTATCTCAAAGCAATTGAAGTGACATGTCATAGTTTGACATATTAATGTTCGACATATATCAAACACATACTCAAATTTTATCATCTAGATTTTATCTCTTTTCTTCTAGGAAATGAATATAAATAGCGTCATACATGCATATACATGTAATGTGATACACATGTAGGTATATGATAACACTGTTTTGTCATCCCTATACATCTAGGCAGTGTTTATTTTGATCAATTCTTTCGTTTTTTATCAAGAGATTACATACCGTTGGTAAGGTCAGAAAAATCGACGTTTTAATTTCTTTTTTATTTCCGATGGTGGATATTTAAAGAGTATTCTCTCAAATTTTCATTGAAAAATTAACAAAAATAACGAAGTTATAGCCAGGCACTAGAATGCGGTCGAATTGTCGAGTAGAAACTAGAAACTGGAAACTGGCGCGCAGGTATACGCTGCTAAGGAAAGGGTCGGCATTGTTTTGTTTTTGAAAGGGCCGGATTTTGCCTCTAACTTTTCCCGAGGGTTTACTACAGGGTATTTCAGAAGGTATAAAACAAATTTTAGGGGATGGGGTTCACCTAGTTTTAAGCCTGTCAAAGGTAACTCCTTAAAATTGAAGAAGCATTACACACATCTTTTATAAGTATATAAAAGTTTGATAGCAAAAAAAATTCGGATTTTACAGGATAATCTTTGACATATATTTTACGTTTACGCGAGCATTACTTCTGTAGTAACTTACGATAATTCACTCGTTTACGCGGAGTAAATTATCGTAAGTTACTACAAAATTCCGTTTAAGCGAAAAAAAAATCCGTTTACGCGAAGGAATTATCGTAAGTTACTACAGAAGTAACGCTCGCGTAAACGTAATAATAGACACCTCGCTTGCTCCAAAATAATTCCAACCAATTAAGTGTACTCGAACAAAAAGTTAAACTATGTTTGGCATCGTTATAATTCCCGGCTGAATGTACGACATATATTGACATTGACACATATGCTAATACTATCTGGGAACCTTTCGCATCCTGTTGTAGGCGATTCAACTCGACAGGTTGGATAATCTTCCTTCCTGCAATTTAATTGGAAATTACCAAATGTTGACATATAACTATGCGTTTCATAGAAATATTCTTCGTTTTCTCGTCGTGAGAGACGAGACGCAACTGAGATGAACTGAGATCACCGAGAGGCCACGGCCACGCTCTTTCGAGTGTCGTG